GCAGGGGATATTACAGGCTTAGGTTTTCAACATTATACAGTAAACCATTCTTTAAATTTTGTTAATCCCGATAATGGTGTCCATACGCAACATATCGAATCGTATTGGAATAAGAATAAAACTTTTATCAAAAAAATGAAAGGCGCTAAAAAGGAAGACTTAAATTAATATCTTGCTGAATATATGTGGCGTGAAAGATTTGAAAATAACGAGTTTTTTAAAAAATTAGATGTTTGACTGAAATGAATATAAATGATTAAATTTCTTTATTGTTTTTTTTTCTGAGGGGAAATAACCGCTCCGGTTCAAAATATGTTAAATAAATATATAAACATATCTACCTGTTTATAAAATGTTTCATGTGGTAGTTTTACCACGGTTTGCTTTACTTGGCGTTTTTGCCTACATTTTTTTAACCTTGTAAAATGCCTTTAAAATTTCTTTTTTATTTTATTTACCCTTTTTTTATATGGAAATCAAATGCAAATGTAGGTAAATTCGCTTAAAAGACCCTTTGAGTGTTTCAAATGAATAAGCGGTGGGCAAAAACGAACCGTTAACATTAAAAAAAAGCTGATTGACTTTTTATATTTTTTAATTTTCAAAAACAGCTAGAATTAACACCAACCATGTTTTTTCTTTTATTAAATTAATTCAACGGTGGTTTTCTTTGCTTTTACTTACATTTTTTAAAAAGCTTTTCAACAAGATCGTGGTTTGGACATGATTTTTTAAAATATTATGATTTAGATTCGATCTTAAATTTTGGATCAAATCCATTATTCGGCCCCGTAAAAAGAAAAAAATCAAAATTCAAAAAATTTAATTATAGATGTAAATTTATCATCTGAGTAATGCTCCCATACATAAACTCTTGAGAAATGTTTTTCTTTGTTTTAAAGTTAAACCCATCGTTTTTTTGATGAACAATTTTAGTTTTTTGTTATATGACTCTACATTTTGAGTACCTGTTCCGGTATTACGATCAAGAAAGCAATATTTTTGACCAACTGTTTGGTGCTGATATAGATTTGATTTATTTAGTGATGAATAATATTTCCATTTATCTGTTACTATAGTACTACCAGGAAGTAAAACCTGATTTATTATGGATAGTAATATTTCTGCAGAACGATTTCCAACAATAAAGAATAATTCAAAGCCGGAACAAAAAAAATTATCAACAATTACTAGTGCCCATCACGCAGGTATGTGTCGACTACGATGATTTTTTGTATTGAAATTTCCTTTCGTCTCGTAGATTTGTACGATAATGTTGAAGCCGCCAAATTTAATAGGATGATCTACAAAATATTGTTTAATCTTTGAGGCTATAATTTTTTAAAGCCAATAACGGTCCTTTTTTAATCTGGTCTAGCTCTTTAATAACTGTAAACCCAAGACCTAATGAAAAATAATAGATGGCCTTCAGAATGGTTTTAAGATTAATTCTAAATGATGAAAGAATTGAACCATATCTTATAGACAGAGTGGTTTGATATTTGATACATGCATATTGCATGCATCTCCACCCAAATTCATCTATATGCCGCTCACTAATCTTGAAGGCTATA